CATCTATATATATAAAAATGAATGTATGTCTGTGTGTGTGTGTGTCCTTTATGCATTACCAGACCGTTTATCCGATTGCCGTGAAACTTTGGGAAGTTGTTTAATATATTCCCGCGAAGGTTTGTGGCATAGTACGAGTGCCATAAAACTTTGGGAAGTTTTTTTAATACACTCCGGCATAGTACATTTAACCTACGATAGATGGCGCGCGTTTACACGAGCATTCGAACAATGTCCGATCTATTTCAAATTGTGAAGACCATTTCCCCCCTCCAAAAAATATCTCTATATATGCATTTGTGAACTGTTATTTACGATATTTGTAATAATTTTTGTTTAATCTCTTTATTTCAACTATTTTTTGATAATTATGTATTCGCTCGAACTTTGTTAAAACCTTAACTGTACCCCGAACAACAATCGAAGTTGTAGGAGGAAATTCGCCTATTTTACCGATCTAGAATCCCCTTTCCCAAATTTTAATATCGACTCAAAATAATTTAAAAAGACAAATTACAATAAAACGGTTTATTATCCAACTATCAGAAATTTCACAACATGCCATGGAAGAGAGGAAGGAGCAATTAAATAATTAAAATTGTAAAGGATTTTAAAAAATATATAAAAATGGGAAATATCGCACTTCTGACAATCTCTGCAAGTGTGTGGGTAAATTTGGAGAATCCGTGCTTCTCGCATGTACAACTGTATGTGGCAAGCTCAAGCGTCGGAAAACCTTCCGATTTATTCGTGTACGTACCAGACGGAAAAACAAAAATATCGTGTATCCACAAGCACTGCAATAAATAAATAGAATTGAAACGACACTTTGAAATGTTTTCCGATGAAAATTAATAATAATAATAATAAGTTTCAATAAAAACGATAAAGTGTAAATTGAATTTTATCGTAACGAGTTTGCTTGAATTTCCTTTCTTCTGAGATCGCAGCAATGCGCGACGGGTAAGCTAGTCATTTATAAAATTCGATGTGTGTACTGTACATAGGTAATATGTTGACTTGATATCAAAATGATTGAAAATTCCACAAAGGACAAAAAATAACATTTGAAACAATATCATACTTCAATTACTATCAAAGGCTGCCTACTATATATATTTTAAGATTTTTATTAATTTTAATATTTTAAAATATAATTTTAAGCCACACTCTAATCAGTTGATTAATTAATGCAAGGAACTAACACATCACAGGGTATACAGCAAATCTCGATTATAGCCATACAGAAGTATCTTATTATGCTGAATGTGCAAGTTTTCCACTATATCCTTTGTCATGTGTGAGAAGTCACAACACAATTGCAGAGTTTTTAAAAGAAGTACAAACCTCCTAGTCCTGTTATATAACATCTGCACACCTCCACATAATTGTTTACATTTTTATGAAGTAAAGAACAAATAAAATCGTCAAATATGTACATAAAATCATACATGAACATGACAGTTGAGAAATGATTATAAAATTTAATGCATTAAACACAAGAAAATTAATGTAAATTTCATAAATACTAAATTAAAATATCACTCAATGTTACATTTGATAAATTTTTATTGAAAATATGATACCAAGACTGATTACATTAATCCAACTCCAAAAAAACTAAAATTCTTGCAAACAGTTCATTATAAATTATATAAATTGAGTTTAATACTGGGAATTAAAGACAAGTTTAAAATGAAAATGCAATTGAAACTAACTTAATTCAAGTGTATTGATATCAGTTTAACTTTAGTATATAATTGAAGATTAAGCTTTGTTTTTTTCACTCTTTTTGCCCCTGTGGACAACTAAGAAGGCTTTTTTAATCACCCATTAGGCACACAATGAGGAGGAGCAAGCTGACATATTAAGGACAAACCTTCCAAGAAAAATTCTTTGTTCTTTTTTTTTAAACTTTTTATCCTGTGGGTCTTTTTATCTAGGGTCCACAGAATGAAAAGAGTAGATGGGGCTCCCCCAATAAATGTAAGGCCCCATCCCTCGTCATCTAGCTGCCCCAATCTGAACCAGGCTGAATACATGACAGGAATGGAAAAAGGTCATTTTGGTGCCCACAGCATGTTGAGAGTAAAAAGAAAAAAAAAAACATGAATGCAGCTATCATATAGAAAATGTTCCCTAATACATGTAGGTTAATATAACAATGAAAATAACCTTTACAGATTTATGTCTTTATTGTTACTATAATCAAATTTGCCTATGCTGTACTTCAACCTTTTTTCTTTTCAAGATACCGCTGAGTGAATATACACAACTACAGTGGAATGTAGAACGAATGTAATTGATTTTGGAACCTTGTTATAACATATTGAAATATATATGTTTAGAATAATCTGTTCCAGGCTCATAGTGTACGCTTCAAAGCAAAGTTACCATCTAACGCAATTATTTAAACAGGTAAATACAAAACAAAACATAAACTATAAGTGTAAAAATTATATAAAATTTTTAGATAAAAGAGGGGAAAAANCGCTGAGTGAATATACACAACTACAGTGGAATGTAGAACGAATGTAATTGATTTTGGAACCTTGTTATAACATATTGAAATATATATGTTTAGAATAATCTGTTCCAGGCTCATAGTGTACGCTTCAAAGCAAAGTTACCATCTAACGCAATTATTTAAACAGGTAAATACAAAACAAAACATAAACTATAAGTGTAAAAATTATATAAAATTTTTAGATATTGCACCTGTAAATTTGTAAAGCATAAACAATTTTTCCTTAATGAAAACTATAAACAAATTTTCCCCTAATAATGTGTACACACACTAATGCACACAAAAAACCAATAACTGAACCTTACAAATGTAAACAAAAAAGTGACCAACACACTAATAAAAGTGGGAAGGCTCCAACATGTCATTCACACAAGCTTACTACATTGGTCAACAGAATTCTTTTGCATTCGGTATAAATTAATCACCAATGTTCCAACATGCTTGGCTCCAGAGCCTTGCTGGATCAAGTTTTGTACAAAACTGTAAAGTAATAATTTAAAAGATAAATGACAAACTACTTTTACAATTTAAATAAAAATATTTGATGCTTCTACGTCTTTAATATACAAGGTCTGTTCAAAAAGTATCGGACCTTTTTTTTTCCCGTGTAAACCAATGATGCGCGAGAGGCTTCCTTCGGTGGAGTTGTGTAGGGGACAGTCATGCACAACCCTGAATTTTTTCCCGCCTGCAGGAAGCGTCAGTCGTTGGCAGTCGGCCTATGAGTGAGGTCATGTAGTGCGCTCTCGTCGGATTTCACTAAGCTGGAAAATGACTGAACAACGTGAGTAGCGATATTGCATCAAATTTTGCCAAAAACCTTGGTGATACCCAAGCGTAAACTATTCGCAAGATTCAGCAGGATTTCGGGGATGGTCCTCGAAGCCAAAAAAGCGCGGCAGGTCCGCAGCAATATCAAAGGTCATGTTGACAGTTTTTTCGACTCTCGTGGGGTGGTGTGTCGTGAGTACGCGCCACAAGGCCAAACCATTGCAAAGGAGTACTACCAGGAGGTCCTTCGTCGTCTTTCCGATACAGTGCGACGCAAACGACCAGATCTGTGGTCGATCAAAACTTGGCAGCTCCATCATGATAACGCATCCGCCCATTCTGAGCATCTGATTCGGGCTTTCGTCGCCAAACACAACACTCCTGTGGTTCGTCACGCTCTGTACTCTCCCCACATGGCTCCGTGTGACCTTTGGCTATTTCCCAAGCTGAAAATGCCGCTAAAAGGAACCCGATTTTAGTCGAGAGAAGACATCGTGCGGAATGCGACGGAGCGGCTGATGGTCATTCCAAAAGATACGTTCCAGCAGTGTTTCCAGCAATGGCAGGAACGCTGGGAGAAGTGTATACATTACCAAGAAGACTACTTTGAAGGGGATTAGGGTTTTGTACCTCAAAGTAAATAAATTTATTTTTGCCGACCAAAGGTCCGATACTTTTTGAACAGATACAAATATATGAGAAAATGTATACAAATAAATATTTAGCTTCAAAACATTATTACATGTTTACTTATTTCTATAGAGTTTACTGGTAAAAATGATCAAATTGCTGGTATAATTACCAGTGCATTTTTAACTGATTACCATTAAACTGATAAATCGATTTACCAATAATGCAACACCTAAAAGCCACCAAGCAAACAAATATAAGTTACAGGAAGGTTAAACGCCTTTTATACTTCTTACAGGTACTGAGTCATTTATTAGCTGCCAGACAATTAGTGTTAAACCTATGATATTTCATCAAAATAATCATTCTTTTGTTTATATACTTCTAGGAATGCGGAACATTTTTATTTACTTTATTATTATTGTATTTGATAGCAAAAATATATATTTATTTGCTTACTAATAACCATTTTGATATAATAGAATTTTCTACTTTTGTAAAACTCTAAATCACTAAAATTAAGATTTACCTGGAAGTATAAAAGAACCTAAAGAATCTTCAAGTGACCTTGTTAACAACTCTTGTAATTTATCCAAGAGGCCGTACTGTTGCAGACATACGAGTCCATGCTCAACCAGCACTAAATTAGTCAACAATTCTACGCAGTTCAGCAACAGCAACATGTCATCTTTATATATTTCTGATGTTAACTGTTCTAAATACTGCATTTCAATCACTATCTGTAATGCTTGTGGAGAACAACAAGCAATTTTTACAAAAACCTGTAATAAAAAAATTAAAAATTAATATTGAATTTTATTATTTTAGTACTTTTTAATTATATTTTTTGCTAATTGAAAGTAGGATTTTTCAGCAAATACACACTTGCTCCATCGATCCTACCACTGCTGGAAGCACCACTGGAAGACTTCTTTTGGAATATTTAAGAGTTTAGATCTCACAATCGATTTTATGTCCTCCATAGTTGCAAAATATGTTTCTTTGAGTCCTACTTTCAGCATAGGGAACACCCAAAAATAACTCGAAAAGGAGATCTGGTGAGTATAAAGGTTGGGCAATGACAGGAGTTCTTTTGTCAGCAAGGAATTGCTACAGAACAGGTGATGAGTGTCTCAGTGTATTATTGTGATGCAGAAACCATTCTTCCTGCCACTCATTGCACTATTTATGTCAAACTGTATCTTAAAACTATGCACAAATTGCACATAGAAACTAGTAAGAGAACATGTTTCACAACCACGAAGGATATCAAATTAAATTTGATGGTCAAACTTCTGAATATTCCAAAAGAAGCCTTCCAATGGTTCTTCCAACAATGGCAGGATCAATGGAGAATATATATGTGTGCTAAATAGTTCTACTTTGAAAAACATTAGGTAAGCATTTTCATATGTCCTACGTATGTCTGTGTATTTTTCATGCATTACCACACCGTTTATCCAATCGTCATGAAACTTTGGGAAGTTGTTTAATATACTCCCGCGAAGGTTTCTGGCATAGTACATTTATCCTACGATAGATGGCGCGCGTTTACACGAGCATTCGATCACTGTGTGTCCGATCGATTTCAAATTGTGAAGACCATTTCCTCCCCTTCAAAAAATATCTCTATATATGCATTTGTGAACTGTTATTTACGATATTTGTAATAATTTTTGTTTAATCACTTTATTTCAACTTTTTTTTTGCTAATTACGTATTTTCTCGAACTTCGTTAAAATCTTAACTGTACCCCGAACAACAACCGAAGTTGTAGGAGGAAATTCGCCGATTTTACCGATCTAGGTATCCTTCTTTTTCAAATTTTAATATGAACTCAAAATAATTTAAGAAGACAAATTACAATAAAACGGTTTATTATCCAACTATCAGAAATTTCACAATGTGCCAAGGAAGAGAGGAAGGAGCAATTAAATAATTAAAATTATAAAGGATTAAAAATATATATATAAAAATGGGGAATATCGCGCTTCTGACAATTGCTGCGAGTGTATGGGCTAAATTTTTGAAAATCCGTGCTTCTTGCATGGACAAGTGTATGTGGCCGGCTCACGCGTCGGAAAACCTTTCGATTTGTTCGTGTACGCACCAGATGGAAAAACAAAAAATATCGTGTATCCACAAGCACTCCAAGAAATAAATAGAATTGAAACGACACTTTGAAATGTTTTCCCGATGAAAATGAATAATAATAATAAGTTTCAACAAAAATGATAAAAATTAAATTGAATTTTATCATAACGAGTTTGCTTGAATTTCCTTTCTTCTGAGATCGCAGTAATGCGCGATGGGTAAGCTAGTATATATATATAAATGAATGTATGTCTGTGTGTCTGTCCTTCATGCATTACCACACCATTTATCCGATTGCCATGAAACTTTGGGAAGTTGTTTAATATATTCCCACGAAGGTTTCTGGCATAGTATGATTGCCATGAAGCTTTGGGAAGTTTTTTAATACACTCCCACGAAGGTTTCTGGCATAGTACATTTATCCTATGATAGATGGCATACATGTATATGATCATTTCACAGTGTGTTCGATTGATTTCAAATTGTGAAGACTATTTTCCCCCTTCAAAAAATATCTTTATATATGCATTTGTGAACTGTTATTTACGATATTTGTAATAATTTTTGTTTAATCACTTTATTTCAACTTTTTTGCTAATTATGTATTCACTAAACAACCGAAGTTGTAGGAGGAAATTTGCCTATTTTACTGATCTAGGGATCCCTCTTTTTCAAATTTTAATATAGACTCAAAATAATTTAAAAAGACAAATTACAATAAAACGGTTTATTATCCAACTATCAGAAATTTCACAACATGCCAAGGAAGAGAGGAAGGAGCAATTAAATAATTAAAATTATAAAGGATTAAAAATATATATATAAAAATGGGGAATATCGCGCTTCTGACAATTGCTGCGAGTGTATGGGCTAAATTTTTGAAAATCCGTGCTTCTTGCATGGACAAGTGTATGTGGCCGGCTCACGCGTCGGAAAACCTTTCGATTTGTTCGTGTACGCACCAGATGGAAAAACAAAAAATATCGTGTATCCACAAGCACTCCAAGAAATAAATAGAATTGAAACGACACTTTGAAATGTTTTCCCGATAAAAATGAATAATAATAATAATATAATAATAATAAATTTTAATAAAAATGATAAAATGTAAATTAAATTTCATCATAACGAGTTTGCTTGAATTTCCTTTTTTCTGAGATCGCAGCAATGCGCGACGGGTAAGCTAGTAAATAAATAAAAATTTTACCCATAGTTATAATAGAAAGATAAAATAATGACGAAGTTAAAATAATCGACCAGAAAGTAGAGTAAAATATTAATTTAACCCCCACTATCCCCTGGTGTCGTCCCCCGAAAAGTTATTCTTCTTCCTGCTAGACCCAATCGAAAAGTAAAAATTAAAAGCTAATTAACATCCCGTAATTAAGCTATGACCATAAATGAGGTATCAATTTAACTGTTATCCTGAGACAACTAAGTGTTGTCCACACCCGTTATCCACAGCCTAAAAGTTCCGGCAGAATTAACGAAAGTTCACGAAGCAAAAAGAAGCACAACTTTCCAGTCCGGCACCTCACCAACAGTCGCCTTTGTGGTCCGTGATCGCTGCAGATACACCAACACTAGGTTGGTTACTCACATTTGTTGAGAGCATTGTAATAGCCATGCTTGGGCCGGCGCTGGTAGTTTTCGCCACCGGTAGCCTAGAGAGACTGTTGTCTAATTTTCGAAAGTTAGCCTATGCCTAAACCAGGAAAGCAAACTTTGTTAATCCTGGTGATGTCAAAGAGGGTATCACACTTACAGCTAATTACTACCATGTTAAATATCTCTGCAGAATGTGGATATAATCACTATTACGTTCATTTCTTACCATAGACATTACTGGCATGGGTGTGCTTACCAGAAGCTTGTACTCCAGCCTGCATTGCCCTATGGATCAGTAAAATTACTCGGCTCTCCCAACATGACCAGGTAGTGACCACGGAAAAGTTATTATTAATAATATTATTATTATCAAACCCATCCAATAAACCCTTCTTAATGCACAACGACAGGCAGTACTACAATTGGAGATCCACTATTAAAGCCCTCCTGGAAGCTAAAATCATCAAGGATAATATAAAACCCAGCACAATCTATAAAATCATCTTCTCTCAGCACCCTAATCCCAACTTAAGCGACAACAGAATTAACTGGCAAGAATGCTGGACTAATGTTGGAAGACTACCACCCGAATGGAAGGAGACTACATGGAGAATCATCAACAATGTTACCATGACGAAAGAATTCCTCCACAATTACCATCTACTCAGGAATGCAAAATGTCCGAGGTGCCAGAAAGACGAGAGTTCTTACCACCTATTTTATGAGTGCACCACCGCCAACCGTATCTGGACATGGATCAACAGCATCTTTAACATCACCCTTAGTTGGCACAATATTATCTACCATGCTGACCTTCCCGATACCGATTCCAACAAATACAGCCTCAATTGGCTGATTGCACTAGCGAAGAGAACCCTATGGAAGGCAAGATGTGCCCTCCATTTTGAAAACAAGAAATGGAACTCAACCTTATGCATAAAAAAAATTAAAGACGAAGCAGCCATTAAAATCAAAAGTGATCATTCCCTACTGACTGATAAAGACTTTGAAACACTATACCATGGAACATTTGACAAAATTTGGAAAGAAATTAACAACAATTATCTATTTAGAGAAGACTGGCCTTAGTGACTGTCATATCCTGTTCACCATTTACAACTGTTTTGTCTATGTATTAAATAACATCCAACTTGCTAGTATATGTTTATAATTTTATATACAAAACCTGTTAATTATGCTATGTAATGGGGAATCTCCCAAGCTACAATTTATGTTATCAATCATACTACGTATATTAACACTGTTATTAGTTGTAACTAATCGTCATTGTAAATGTTATAGAATAACTTTCTATATGTACAACCGCTAAACNAAACTGTAATTGTTTTGAAATTAAATTTTATTTTAGCGGTGTTTTGTTCATTTTTATAATAAGTAGCGTGTTTAAATTTTGCTGATTTCAAGTTGCAGTAATAAGCAGCCTATTTCTTTTAATTTCTGCAAACTTTTTTATGCGGTTTTAAGTTAATTTTAACTCGTTGTTTTGGTTTTATGCGATTTTAGAAAATTTCGGAACGTATCCCTACTTTTTCAAGGCAAGTAAAATCTTTTTTTATGCGAATTTTTTTATATGCGCTTTTCTCTAGAACGAATCCACCACATAAAACGAGACCTTACAGTACTTCGTTTCTAAATACCGTAAACCACGTTGTAAAAGTACCGTGTTGTAAGAAAATTTCCGCATGTTTCCAACCGCGTTGAAGCGAAAACGCGTTGTAAAAGTACCGCGTTGTAGGAGGCCTACCTGTATTGTGTCTAATGATTGTGTTCCCAAAATTTTTTAATTCTCGAAAATCGGTAATTTTTGAATCGGAGAAAAATGTTTTTGGTAACAGTCAAAAGTTGTTTTTGTAAATGTCACATTATTTTCATTGTATTTAATTAGTACTAATATCATTCAATTTCTTTTAATTATTATTTATGTACTAGCAGGTAAGTCCGGTGTTGCTCTGGCAAAAAATAAGAATAGCGAAGATTAAGATTATTACATTATAGCCAATCTTATTCGTTTTCACAGAATGCAAGAATTAGGTTGCCCTGTTTCCAGACCAATTAGAAAATTTTTAGATGGTTCTAAAAGTATGATCGATTACCCGCAAAAAACCGTATCTGAGCATGTAAATCTTGCACGTCATTTTCTCTTAACACTTACCTGCGGAAAAGTGTTAACAACCTCTCTCCCGCAGGGGGAATTTCGAAAAATCCCTTCTTAGTGTACGTAGCCTGTGTACCAAATTTCAACCTTCAACTCCTAACCGTTTGGGCTCTGTGTTTAACATCATCAACCCATCTCGATTACAGTATACATATAGTCTATATATAGATTAACTAGCAGGGATGGAGAATCGTAGTTGGGTATTTTTCCGCATCCCTGGACACTACCATTGTTGAAAAGAGTAGCATATAACTAACACTAATTTTATTTTAATTAATGTCCCCGCAGGAAATGGGCTATTCCTAGAAATAGTGCAATACCAGGTCAACCCGTGGTGAGGGTGGAGTGAGCTACACTCACTACACCTCGTTTCAAAAATCAGAATAATAATGAAACTTCCGACGGAAGCACATCAGATATTAAGCTGACGAGAACAGAAACAATGTTGTTTAATAATTTGAAAGCAAGCCAGACACATAAACTTGTTAATAATAATACAAATTTCAACCGACAGTCAACCAATATTAGTACAATACAATAGACCATGCCTGACATAACAAAAACACTTTAAAAATTAACATCAAACAGTTTGTTTTCACAAAAAAGAAAAAAAAACAATAAAAAATAATCAACTAACTATTAAAAGAGACAGGCTGCTCTCAACAGTATACTACCAAAAAATCACCAAAAAAGTTAAAAAGTCAGAACACAAATATGTCACTGAAGTAAATCACAAAAAATTAAACACTCCAATCATCATTAAATAAAATAACATCATTCTCTTGTCTCGAGATGACTCCAATAGGTCCACCATAACTACAAGCAAATTCTCTTTGACATATTTTCACAATCAATATTAATTTTCAATATTGCTTCTTTAATTTTTGTAACCAAAAGTGTAGCATTCCATATCTTCTGTTCAAATGTCAATACACATCATAACTTCTAAATTATCTGTTTAGTTAACTCGACAATCCAATTTATCATATATTTGAATGAATACCGACAATTATAATCTGTTTCATACTTGACATTAATCCATGTTATCTTTGTCTTACAGACCTTTTCAACCCATCGCTAAACTTAAACTGCTATAGGACACTCGAAAAACACATGAAATATTGTCTCCTCCCGTGGACACCTCAAGCACCTTGCATCTAGTATAAATACATTACCCTTGCATAAACTACTTTATTAATAATTGTTACTCTCTCAGACTTATAATACCAATTGACATCCCATTCTTCAATAGCACTCTCCACCTTTTGCAAAATCACTTCTACAGTCTTTTCACGACTATTTGAACCATACCAAATTCATAATAACTTAATATTATTTACCCTATCTACATTCATCATATCACATCGTAGATCACAATAGACATTCATCATCTTACATTTATTTTCATTAACCATCATTCCAGTCAATTTACTAAACTTTTTAATTATGGACACAGTCCTATTCATTGCCGGTTGATTAACCAAAAAGAAACTAATTTCATCTGTGTGCGCTATAAACTTAACACGTTCAGCCATTTCCGGTATATAGATAGGATTAATCACTTGATCAGACTGTATTTTTCAGAAGTAAATCAATATAAATCACAAACAATATCATTCCTGACGGGCAACCTTGCCTCACACCCGCATCACAACTAACATCAGTAGATGTTCTTCCATTCACGTTAATTTGCGTATACGGTTTATAATAAAGCAATTTAATTCTATTTAGCTCATTCTCATTAAGACCATATTTATCTAAAATCTTTCATAATATCCCTCTATTAATCGTGTCGAAAGCCTTTTGGACATCAATGGATAGTATAAAAAGTGTAGACTTCCTCTCAATATAAATATCTTGAATTAATTTAGCAAACAATTTTCTGTATTGTAATGCATGCACTCCGTGTACTTACAATAACATCTCTAAACAACATTTCTAAGCAAATTAGAATGATTCATGTAAGTACAAACATGAGTTTTCGGATACACGTCACCCTAACAGGCAGCTGTCTCGAATTATTGTGGTGTTTCTGCCTGTGTAGACATTCAGTGTGTTGTGTTTTGGTTCCAGAGTGCTTTCCTTGTGTTTGATTGTTTCCCAACACTACAAGCTATTGTTTTACTAAATTACCCCTGTGTGGTACTTCGTTACCTAACCGGAACTAGAAATAAAGATTTTCTGAGACTTGGGTGTGTACCTCTTTTGCTACTGCCAACCACTTCTTTTTTCCCTTTGCTTTAGCTAAACTCTTGTTTGCTACAACAGAGTTCTGTAGGAATTTGGCCAAACTTTTCTTATTTCACATTTATCACCACTCTTCCTGGTAGCAAATGGAAAATCTTATATTTCGAAAAAGATCCTAACAATGCGAGCTTTCATTAACAATTATTTAAGTTAGTTTTCTAACGTGAACGTCTATTTACAGGTTCTTTAAGATCGGTTATACTATTCGTTAAAGTTTGAGGGATCAATGATCCCGCTAAGTACCACCGTTGGTCCTACTACGACGAGCAGGAACAAGGGCCTTGGGTGGTGCCCGCAGCTCCAAAAATAGGCCATCAAAGGCTTTAGTCACCGACCCAATGGCCGCGATCAAATGGTGTGCTCGAACATGACCCCACAACAGTTAAGCGAGAACCAGATACACACATTCGATCTTAACCATAAGCCGAGAAGCGATTATACTACTGTATTGTTGTTCTGTACGTATATAAAAAATACAAACAAAACGCTACTTTTTATCTTTCTCGTAAAAGTGTTTTGAAAGTTTGGTAAACTAATAACCTCAAGTATTTCCTTTTACAGTTGAACGTTTTCCTTGAACCATCAAATTACAGCCTCTTATTTTCCCTCAAGTTAGAGGAGGAAAAAAAAAACAACCACGCGTTAAAAACACAATGTCTTACAAAAGTTATTAGTATTATTAACATTAAACAATCCTGACAATCAATATCCTACAAAAGCAAAGTCAAGAACAAGAAGTCCCTGTTAACTATATAATAACTTTCGATGCAAACCGAAGTCACGTATTTTAAATTCAAAACTTTTCCCCTGAAAGCAGTTAACAATAGATGATCGGCACGACTATTAAAAAGAAAAGTATGATGTAGAGGAGCAAGACACTACTAATTTGAAGTGGAGAGCATATATTTTAAATTAAATAAATTAAAAATATGATTAAAAATTGCAGCCAGACATTGTGACAATAAATAATTGCTCGTTTGAGAAATTATAATTTGACTTTCAGAAAATTCTTTATTCAAACCATGATTAAAAATCATTACATATCGGTATTAATATCCCAGTTTTTTTTTTAAAAAAAGGATAAATTGATTTTGTATCAGTTTAATGGACTCGTTTCTCGCAAAGTTATGAAAAAGTACAAGTTTACTTAATGATTCCACATTTAGCCTATTTGCTATTCGTACAAATAAAAGTGAATCTAGAAGCTACTTTAGCATCTTTACAGGTAAAAACATCTTTATAAATTTGTAAGATTGGAAAGCTTAAAAATCCATTAAAACACACTAAAAAATTTCATTTAGTTTTACTATTAAAAATTACTCAAATCGTTAGGTTGTCGACATTCTTTAGTACTTCTGCCAAAAGAAAAAGGTTCCATTTACATTCAATTTATGCTTTTGGAAGTGTTAAATCTTCAATAATATTCGATGACCAGTATAGAACGAATGCGAAGACGTTAACTTGTATAAAAAGCAGCATGAGGTGGACGAAATTACAGCCACCGAAATTCCTTTTGTATAGCAGAAAGTATCGATTTCTACAATTAAAAAGTCCAAAAATTAATTATTATAATACCCAAAAATAACCGCTAAAAATCAAAATATAGAGTTGATTTTTACTCCATAAATAGAATTAATTCCATGATCCATAACAAAGAATTACTTAACGAGATCTCCAGAAATAACTTCAGAGGAGCTAACTCACCATACGTTGACGAAATGTAGTCGAATAGTAAAAATATGATTACGTTTAGTATAGAAAACAGCACAGTAGATACAACCTGAAAAATGCATTGTTATCATCACAAAATATAATTCAGCATTAAAAAAAGTAACTTAAAATGATTATCATTATATAAAAAGCGACATTGCAAACACTTCAAAGGCATTCATGCTTACTGTAAGGAATGGGGAGCATGCATTTATCACTAACACGGCCATTACAATTGCAAATAATACAGAAGGTTCTAAATATGGATTCATCTTCAGGGAATCGACTTAAATTCAATATTCTAGATTAAAATTCGTACAATCGAAGGAGTGGGCATTGCTCTTTACTCTTTTATTGCAACGAGTTGCATGATTATTCAAAGCAAAAGTTGATGTAAAGGAAGATAAAATTTAATAATATTTTAGCAATTATTAAAAAAATAAATAAGATTTTTTTTGTTCGTGACAAAAGTTATTTTCGTTTCTTTTATAAAAATGAATAAATATGTAAAATTAATTCATTACCGCAGCTAAAGACATTTTTAATTTTCGAATTGAAAATTATTTATACGGAAAAGGATTCATAATTTCTGATATTTTATAAATAAATTTATAAAATTATTTAATTAATTTAATTTCCTAGAATGATTCTAAGTGTCAAGCAAACATTCTGATGGAGTTATAACAATGTTACTTGTTTTTCTGCCATAATATTAAGAATGATAAAGTATGGTGCCCTCGCATACATTTTTGCTACTCAAGAACTTTGAAATTACACGGAATATTTTAATATTGAAAAGTGATGGAATTGAGAGTATTTGAGAGACAGAAAATCAAATAATTTTATTGACATTGGGTTTGTATGATAAAAATTCGAGAAGGAGGGCTCTCAGATCTTCGATAAAGCGACAGTTTTCGTTTGAACTGACATCGAGACACTTTTAATAAACAACAAAATTGAATCCTTTAGGCAGGCTTTATGTCTCTATTCTCTCAGTAATCCGGTACCCATTTGTATAAGAAATGGCTGGATTAGCGATAATTTACTATACTGTATTAGGCTCACGTTTTCTTCAAACAAATTCTGCTTCGCGGAATACTGGCATGTTGTATGCGGTATTATCATCAGAATATTCCTCACCATCGGCTGCCGGATTTACGAACTTTTGCTGTGTTTTTGTTAAGTATGTTTTGTATAAAATTTTAAGAACCACTACTAACTAAAGTCTGTATTTTTTAAGTGTTCATCAGTGGCCAAGCGGTCTTCGTACCCGAACACTAGCAGTTCGGTCGTAGATTCGCGCCTCGCTTGGACGGGCTGGCCACTTGGAGTTTTCCAGTTTTCTCCACGTCTGTAACGACTAGATACGGGTCAGTTTCCCTTAAAAAGACCTCCCGGAAGGCATCCTCCCCTAGGCAGATCGCCCAACTGTTGCGTTGCCATAAGTAAACAAACAAACTGTATTTTTCAGATAACGAATGCCTTTTATTTTCTTTTATCTGGTTTGACATCATTTTTAGCGGCTCAGACACAATCTTTCTGTAAAAGCGAACTCATTTAGGAAACCATGCATTGAATGCATTATATTGATATATTTTCTACACTGTATCAATCTATCAAGACAATTATAACGCTTTATTTACATAGGAAAAAGTTAGGTAATTGTGGACGACGTCATTTCTCCACGTTCTCTTCCTTACGATTCTATTCGATTACACTCATGGAATAGCCTTCTCTGTGGTAAGTGTTCGTCTGATTCGAGATTAGACGAAGTGCGTGATTTTCAAGGGGAGAAACCTTAAAACATTTCATGTAGTTTGATGTGGATTGTGTTTATTCGACAGATCGATAAAATTTCTTAGGTTTATGTAACATCGTATTGTGTATTTTGTTCGAAAAGTATGTATAATGTAGATCAGTGTTTTTCAACCTTCTTGAATACGCGACACCTTTACAAGTTATGAAATTCTGGCGACCCCCCCGGGGCAGCTACTTTAGCATCTTTACAGGTAAAAACATCTTTATAAATTTGTAAGATTGGAAAGCTTAAAAATCCATTAAAACACACTAAAAAATTTCATTTAGTTTTACTATTAAAAATTACTCAAATCGTTAGGTTGTCGACATTCTTTAGTACTTCTGCCAAAAGAAAAAGGTTCCATTTACATTCAATTTATGCTTTTGGAAGTGTTAAATCTTCAATAATATTCGATGACCAGTATAGAACGAATGCGAAGACGTTAACTTGTATAAAAAGCAGCATGAGGTGGACGAAATTACAGCCACCGAAATTCCTTTTGTATAGCAGAAAGTATCGATTTCTACAATTAAAAAGTCCAAAAATTAATTATTATAATACCCAAAAATAACCGCTAAAAATCAAAATATAGAGTTGATTTTTACTCCATAAATAGAATTAATTCCATGATCCATAACAAAGAATTACTTAACGAGATCTCCAGAAATAACTTCAGAGGAGCTAACTCACCATACGTTGACGAAATGTAGTCGAATAGTAAAAATATGATTACGTTTAGTATAGAAAACAGCACAGTAGATACAACCTGAAAAATGCATTGTTATCATCACAAAATATAATTCAGCATTAAAAAAAGTAACTTAAAATGATTATCATTATATAAAAAGCGACATTGCAAACACTTCAAAGGCATTCATGCTTACTGTAAGGAATGGGGAGCATGCATTTATCACTAACACGGCCATTACAATTGCAAATAATACAGAAGGTTCTAAATATGGATTCATCTTCAGGGAATCGACTTAAATTCAATATTCTAGATTAAAATTCGTACAATCGAAGGAGTGGGCATTGCTCTTTACTCTTTTATTGCAACGAGTTGCATGATTATTCAAAGCAAAAGTTGATGTAAAGGAAGATAAAATTTAATAATATTTTAGCAATTATTAAAAAAATAAATAAGATTTTTTTTGTTCGTGACAAAAGTTATTTTCGTTTCTTTTATAAAAATGAATAAATATGTAAAATTAATTCATTACCGCAGCTAAAGACATTTTTAATTTTCGAATTGAAAATTATTTATACGGAAAAGGATTCATAATTTCTGATATTTTATAAATAAATTTATAAAATTATTTAATTAATTTAATTTCCTAGAATGATTCTAAGTGTCAAGCAAACATTATGATGGAGCATATAACAATGTTACTTGTTTTCCTGCCATAATATTGAGAATGATAAAGTATGGTGCCCTCGCATAAATTTTTGCTACTCAAGAACTTTGAAATAACACGGAATATTTTAATATTGAAAAGTGATGGAATTGAGAGTATTTGAGAGACATAAAATCAAATAATTTTATTGACATTGGGTTTGTATGATAAAAATTCGAGAAGAAGGGTTCTCAGATCTTCGATAAAGCGACAGTTTTCGTTTGAACTGACATCGAGACACTTTTAATAAACAACAAAATTGAATCCTTTAGGCAGGCTTTATGTCTCTATTCTCTCAGTAATCCGGTACCCATTTGTATAAGAAATGGCTGGATTAGCGAGAATTTACTATACTGTATTACGCTCACGTTTTCTTCAAACAAATTCTGCTTCGCGGAATACTAGCATGTTGTATGTGGTATTATCATCAGAATATTCCTCACCATCAGCTGCCGGATTTACGAACTTTTGCTGTGTTTTTGTTAAGTATAAATGTTTTGTATAAAATTTTAAGAACCACTACTAACTAAAGTCTGTATTTTTCAAGTGTTCATCAGTGGCCAAGCGGTCTTCGTACCTGAATACTAGAAGTTCGGTC